TGAAAGGCACCATCCCTTTCCTTTTTTGTTCTTTTTTTAGATTTATTTATTTTTATTGGAAAATCGGTTATACAGAGAGAAAGAGAAAATATCTTTCATCCACTCCTCCCCAGGTGGATGCAATGGCCAGAGCTGAGCTGATCCGAAGCCAGGAGCCAGAAGCCTTCTTTGGGTCTCCCACACAGGTTCAGGGTCCCACCACTTTGGACCACCCTCTACTGCTTTCCCAGGCCACAAACAGAAAGCTGGAAGGGAAGTGGAACAGCTGGAACACGAACCGGCACCCATACTAGATGGTGGCAGTTGAAAGGTGAGGATTTAGCCACTGAGCCATCGTGTGGGGCCCTGAAAGGGCACCATTCTTTGAGACCCAGGTGTGGTCACAAACTACATAGAATAGTTGGTGTGGTGTCATCCGTATGAGGCAGTCCCGCATTTTAGAGACTGCACACTTATGGGAAGCAATCTGACCAAGGTTCAACAGAGGTTCCTCCAAAATAGAGACATTCCTAGGTCTGGAATTAATAAAGAGATGGCTCAGAGCAGATTTGACCTTGATGGATCCATCTGAACAGATTTCCTAACAGGTTTGCTATTCATTTGGCACTTCAGTCTGGTTCGTGTCACTGAACCAGGATACCCAAGGCTAAGGCTGCTTGAGAAGGTGGTTTATTTGGCTCATGGTCCTGACAGCTGGAAAACCCAAACATGTGATGTGGTACAGGTCCTTGGCACAAACTCCCTGGCTCCATCACATGGCAGATGCATTGCATGGCAGGAGTTTATGGGAGAGACGCACGTGTCTAAGAGCTCACATGGTCAGAGGGAAGGCAAGAGACTACCAGCTCTTCGATGACAGCTTCCGTCTTTCAGGAACTAATCCTCTCCTGCTAGACCTAGCCCACTCCAGAGGGGCCAGCATTAATGTCTTCACAAGAGCAGTCACCTGCCAATCATCTCCCACTAAGCTCCACCCCTTAAAGATCCCCAAGCCTCTCAGTATCATTCACTGGGGACGCAGCTTCCAGCTTTGGGGTGCGGTGGGGGAGGGAAACCCATATGTAAACCATTGCATTGGGTGAGTTGAGTCTGTCTATGGGAGAGCCATGAATCCTCCCGTCCCTCCTTCCCCCACCAAGTGCCTTCCCATCCAGTGGGAATAAGGAGGGTGATTCTAGGGAGGTCACGAGAGAGAATGACACAAACAGTCACAAGAGTGTAGACCTAGAGCAGAGGAGTTCAGAGGGAGGAGATACTGCCAGTTGCATCAAAACAGAGAAGCAAGCAGGAGGCCTTTCTCCTGGCGTCATCTTCATCAGTAGCACACCTGTGGTGACCCCAGCTGCACACCTAGGGGCTTCAGCTCTGCTCCTTCTCTCTCACCCATCTAGAATGGCTCCTCACCTGCTCTGTTACAACTGGAGAATAGCTCCCTAACTCAGGCCCTCCTGCTTACTCACCAGGCCAAATCTTCCTCTTGCCAGGGCTTTAGCAAGTGTCTAGATCAACCCCTCCACCCCGCTTCCCTCCTATCTTTCCTGCTGATTTGAGAATAATAGTCCAGAATCTCAGATGTCTGAACTACTCCTCTGCTTGAGAACATGCTAACTTTTCCGCTATCACAATTTTGCCATTTGCGTATCTGCTTCACTGTTTTATCTCAAGTCAGATCTACAGAGGCCCCTAGCCCAGATATTTGCCAGCGTGTCTCAGCTCCTTACCCTCATTTCCATCTCAGTAGTTTGGGACCATTTCATTGGGTCTAGGAGCAGAGGCACCAGCCAGCAATCCCAACCCTGGGGAGGCAGGTGTCGACCCCTTAGTTCCAGCCTACATGTCAACCTGTTTGAATCCCTCCTTCTTTTAACTCTTTCAGCATCTTGAGAAGTGTCTCACTGTACTTCCTTATTGCAACAAAATACCTCACACAGAGTAATTCGTGAAGAAGAAAGGTTTAAGTTCATCTTTCCTGAGACCCGCACCTGCAGTGACCGAATCACCTTGCATAAGACCTACCTCTTTTTAAAATGTACTTATTTATCTGAAAGGCAGAATGACATAGAAAGAGGGAAAAACAGTCAAATGGTTACAAGGGCCAGGGTTGGATTAGGAAAAATGGAGGAGCAAGAAACTTCATTCTGGTCTCCCATGTATGTGGAAGGAGACTAAATGCTCAAATCACCTTCCACTGCTTTTCTCAGGCCCGTTATCAGGGTCTAATTTAGGCCCCCGGCTGCCATGAGACATGTGCGAGGGGACCCAGGATGTGCCTGTAATCCCTTGAGCCACTTGTGTGCTCAGCTGTGTGGTGAGTGTCAGTGGCCTTGAGTTCTCAGCATCCAACCTTCCAGCTTCCTCCAGGCCTAGCCCTGACCAATGGTCTTGAAGCATTGGTCCTGGACAAGGTTAGACGAGAGCCAAACCAAACCAAATGTCTGTGTACACTGCTTTGTAGGTAATGATCTCATGGCAGGTACACACCAACAACACCTGCTAGTCAGGGATGGCACTGGGTATGTGGGTGGATAAGAGGTACCTGGCTGGAGCAGTATTCCTGGATTCTGGAGCTTTGCGGGCAGGTGTAAGGGTGGAAGAAATGATGAAACCCACCTGACTGGGCTGGCACATCCATGTTAGTCCTACACTCCTCACACGTGTTTACCTGTAACCCTGACCTGCTGGCACCCTGCCTTCTGCCTATCCGGGACCTAAGAGCTGCCTGATTCAAGAGCAGGCATCCCTAGCCAGTGAGCTTCCAGGTACAATGCAGGGAGACCATCAGCTGGGCACTGAGAAGAGTGAACAGTAGTGATCTAGACCATTCTGTTGTAAATAGGAATAGATAAGGCATTATCTCCCAGACAGGGGAGAGAAGTGTTCAAGAATAGAGAAAACTAGAATTGGCTGCCCTCCGCTCAGCATGCACTGGAGTTCAAAAGAGTGGGTTTGCAGAGGAGAAAGAACATCCAGGGATGGGAAGGGAGGAGCCAGGTCTGGGTCATGCATTACCAGCCTGGTTCATATCCTTTCCCATTGAACTCTCAGTCAAGCTGCCCCATGATCTAGACACTTAGACTGAAGCACACACACACACACACACATTGAAATACACGTAACCACACCCACCACACTGAAACACACACACACACAAGCCAATTTCTGCTGCCTTCCCTGGAGTATCCACGGGAAGCTGGATCAAAAGTGGAATAACCAGCACTCAGGTGAGTGCTCTGATATGGGATGGTGGTGCTACAAGTGGTGATTTGACACGCTGAGCCACAACACCAGCCGCTAGAGCTGGGTTTTAAAAAGCTTCCTAGCCCCACGAGGAGTTTAGGCAATGATAACCATTTTTTCCAACCAAAAACGGATAACTGTGGTAGCAGCAAGCAAATGCTGTTGGTCCTCATGGCCAGGACATGAGAGCAACACTAACTCCCCAGACCATGTAGGACCTGTGCACTGGAGGGTCACACCTGGAGGAGTGGCACAGTTCAGGCTCGGGTGAGGATGACCTCTCTCGCCACAGTAGAGGAGGAGGCCTGGGGCACAAAAGACCGGGAGCTGCAATGGAAGAGGCTGAAGTACAAGCCCAGACAGAGAAGGAAGACAAGCAGGAGTGCATGGCAGTGGGCATTTGCCTGGTAGCTGTGATGCCCCTGTCCCACACTGGAGTGTCCATGTTTGATTGCGGACCTGGTTCCCGACTCTGGCTTCTTGTCAGCGCTAGAAGGAGGGAGGCAGCAGTCATGGCTCCAGTAGTTGGGTTCCTGCCATCCATGTGGGAGGCCTGGGCTTTGGGCCCTGTTCTTGGCTTTAGCCCTCAGCTCAGCCAAGGCCAGTGCAGGCATCTGGGGAAGAACCAGCAGAGCACTTTTCTCTATGTGTCTGTCACTCTGTGCCTGTTTCTCAAGTTAAAATAAAATAAGAACAAACATAGGAGGCAAGGGTTCATCCTAGGGCAAACCTGAAGCCATGGCATTCCTTACCTCTCTGTCTTTCCGAATAAGCAAGAGCACCCGCAGGTGCCTGGAAGCACTGCAGTGCAGGAATGCAGACATGTCAGCTGCTGCCATGGTCTTTTTCTCCTGCTACCCTGACTCTACCTAGCAAAATGCTTCTCAGTTGGTTCATACCTGGCTTGCAGGGCTGACACCCACCTGCAGTGTTCTGGTCCAACGGTGCCAAGAGGAGGCGGGAGGCTTCCCTCACCTCCAAGGAAGGTCCCGGGTACAGGAGGGCACCTGGCGCTGGGGATGACTCTGAAAAAACTGAGTTCGTGCAGTGATAAGAATGGGACACGGTCATGAGGTTGTGTAAACAAGGTGAGGCTGTGCGTGCGGAGGGGTTCCTTGGGGTTTGTGTGTTCACAGATGTACACACATATGAGGGTGTGGATGCATAGAGGCACATACATCTACATGCATGCACATGCACATACAGGTATATGCAGGTACTTTAAAATTTCATGGAAACAGGACATGAAAAAAAAGTTCATTTTGAGGCAAAGATTCTGAAATCCATGCATATTTTTCATGATCTGTAGATATTTTCTATGTACCTCATGCATAGCAACACATTTATTCCCACAATACCTGTGTGTGTGTGTATGTACACACGCAGATACACACCCTAGGGATCTTAGAAAAGTTCAAGGATATGATGAAAAAACTAGGTATGGATTTCAAAATGTTTGCACCACAGCAAATTTATCTTTTAATATCATTTCTGTACCTCTTTGATATATATACACACATATATGTATATACACACATATACATTCATGTACTTTTATGACTGGCTTCCTTTTAGGCTATAGGGCACAGGGCCTTGCACTTGATTGACACTCATTAATGTTTGCTGAATTAGAGCAAACCTCTGCTGGGTTCATTCTGGTTTTTCTTTGTTTTTTTGTTTACTTTTTATCATTGACCATTGGTCTCAGGAGTTAATGTTTGAACCTGGCCATAAAGAAATCAACGGCTGCTGACCTGCAACCCATATTCAAAGGGGGAGAAGCCCCCTATAAAACAACCCACAGTGGGCAGCCCAGCCAGCAGTGCTGTGGGTCAGTGGCGGAGCGGTAACTAAGCTCATTGCCACCATGAACTTCACCGGCAAGTACCAACAGCAGAGCCAGGAAAACTTTGAGGCCTTCATGAAGGCAGCCGGTGAGTGCTGGACTGGACGTCAGGTTGTAGGGTATGGCAAGGAGGCTTAGCGTTGGTTAGCCAAGGTCTGAAAGCTGAGCTGGGAGGCAAGGTCTGGCTGTACCCAATTCTGGGGGTGTTTTTCCATCATCTCTGGTCGCCTATTGTCTCTCTCACTGGACAAGATCAGCCCATACCCAGGTGAAAAGAGCATTGAACTAGAGTGTGACCTGGTCTGGTGGTGCTTCATTGGGTGACCCTGCGAGCATGTACGCATGCATCCATCCACACATATGGATTCAAGGTCAGCCACACACTGGGTGCTGTAAGGGGAGGACACCAGGGAGACAGATGGTGATGAGCTGCATTTCCAGGGGGCACAAGTTAAGCAAGACAAGAAATAAATGTAGTAAAACATGTAGCTTGAGGTGCGTCAGTACTGAGTGTGCTAAACAAGCCCTGCCTCTATGATACCCTCATTTAATCCTTGCCAGAGTTGGGGCCTCTGAGGCTTAGGAAGGCGAAGGACTCATGGCCAAGGTCGTATAGCTGGGAACATTTGAGTTGGGATTCACAGTAGGCACTGGTTCCCAGAGAGCCCAGTTTAACTCCTTATTCTTCACAGGGTCAGGAACAAGAGGGTGTGACACTCAGGGGGGCATGGAGGGGAGCAAGGTGGTGGAGAGGGGGCATGGAAGGCTGAGCCTTGGATGCTGAGCATGTGTCCACCGAGGGATTTGAAGCGAGGCATGTGTTCCAGGTGGAGGGAGCCGTGGGAGCAGAGGGCTGAGTGTGTTATGGGAGAGAAAGTGGGAGCAGGGAGAGGAGGACCTTCGAGGCCCCCTGAGACACGTACCTTCCTTCTGTAGGCAGGGCACATCACTTGTGTGTCTTGCATTCATTTCCTGTGCGATGGTATCACTCATTCTCTCACCCCTCCCACTCTCAGTGCGTGCGATTTTCATGAACCTCGATTCGTGCAGGAGCATAGGCCTGCTCTAAAACTTCACAAAGCCCTCTTCCAAGGCAAGAGACTCGACTGCAGAGTTCAAGGCGGGAACAGGTGAACATGGTTTCCCAGCACAGCCCTTCTTCAAGTAGCTTGTTCTGACATCAGATCCGTAGCATTCTACCTGTGGAAACATGCTTCCGCTCCAAGTGCAGAGTAGTTAAAGGAGGACTGAATGTAAAGAGAGGGTGAGCAGGGAGCAGGTGTCTACCAGAGCAGGGGTAGCCTGTTTATCAATTAACTGGCAAGATAGTAGCCAGGCAGGCCATTGACCTTGCCTGTGGGAGACCTAAGCCCACACAGCTCCCAGGCCTCCAGCTTCTGTGGCCCCAGGAGGAGGCGGGACACTCTTGCCTTCCCTCTCTGCCCTGCCCATCCATGCCACAGGCTGCTTTGTCCACTGTGGCCTTAACACCTCTATCCGACTCTGAGCCTCAGGCCCGTTCCCTCAGGTGTGCCAGCTGATGTCATCCAGAAGACAAAGGATGTCAAGATGATGTTGGAAATTGTGCAGAATGGGAAACATTTCAAGCTCATCATGTCCGCCGGCCCCAAAGTGACCCAGAACGAGTTCACCTTGGGGGAGGAGTGTGAGCTGGACACTGTGATGGGCAAGGTCAAGGTAGGAGGGGCCCCTTCCACTCACCCTCTGCTTCCAGAATTTTCCCTGAACCCAGACCCAGCATTTCCTGTCTCTCACCATTCTCACCACAGATGTGTAATCACTGGAGCCATTATAGGATGGGAGAGGCACAAAGTCAGCACCCAAGGAAGCTTTTTTTCTTTCCTGGGGGCTGGCAGGTGATATTCTGACCGTGTCTGCCCCAGATCTGAGCCCTCCCACATGAGGAACCACATATTGCCCCCCCAGATCTGAGCTCTCCCATATGAGGGAAATGAGGGGCAAGACTAGTAGGTACACAACAGGACTCTGCCCCAGATTCTCCCTGGCTCGGCACTCAGTGGTTCTCCAGGGAAAACCCATAACGAAGCCCTAAGTCAACTGGCCTTGCTGAGCCCAGAGTTCCTGTTATTAGGGAGATGCATCTTAGAGCGAGTACTGGCAGCACCAGCATATCAAGACCCCAGGCAGGCATGCAGACCAAGAGATCTGGGAGGAATGGTCATTGGGCCCCTGGCCTTAGCTCCCTTGTCTGTACAATGGAAACAGTCAGCCTTCCCAGACTGAACACAGGGACCAGGGAGCTTTCTCCACTGAAGAAGACATGATCAAGAACACGGCAAGGGGAAGGTCATTGTGGGTTTTACATAGACCTTTTCAAATATTGTCCATTTTGGAGACAATTCCCTTACATTTTTAGTCACTTATTTTCATTTATTTAAAAGGTGAGAAAGAGCATGAAAAAACTTTCATCCACAAGTTCACTTCTCAAAAGGGGCCTGTTTTGTGGGTAAAACTACCACAAGGCATTCCATGTGGGTGCCAGTTCAAGTCCTACCACCTCCACTTCTGATCCAACTCCCTACCAATGCACCTGGCCCAACTGCTTGGGTCACTGCACCAGTGTGAGAAATCTGAAAGTTCCTGGCTCCTGGCTTTAGTCTGGCCCAACCTTGGCTGTGGTGGCCATCTGGGGAGTGAACCAATGAACCAGCAGATGGAAAATGTGTGTGTGTGTATGTGTATGTGTGTTCCTTTCCATGTAACTTATACCTCTCAAATAAGTAAAAAAAAAAAAAATTCAAAAAATGATCCCAACATTTGGGGCTAAATCAAGACAAAGACAGGACGCGGGAACTCATCTAGGACTCTCACAGGGGTGGCAGGAACCCCAAACACTTGAGCTTCCTAGGGTATTACACTGGTAGGACACCAGCACTAGGAGTGGGACACCAACCTAGCCACTCTGATATGGGCTGTGGGTGACTTACTGCTGTACTAAACCCTGCACCTGGAAACAAATTTCAACCTTGGCCAGTGTTTTCTACTCCCTATTGGATCTCTGAGTTACCTCTTCTTGGATGTGTAAGGTTTGGGAAGGGAAAGAACCTATAGAAGAAGTAATATTACCACAGTAAGCTGCGTGTTCACTCAACTGATCGCCACCTCCCTCCCTGAACTCGGAGCACTGAGATTTGACATGACTTTACCTTTCGGCTGGTGTCTGAGCTGGCCGAGGGTTCCTTTGCTTATAGTTAACTCACACGGGAGATAATGAAATTCAAAATTCAGAGACAAGAGGTCCAGTCTTTTTCTTTCATTGGCAAAAGCATCTCCTGTGAAACAGGGAGAATGAGAGTGGTGGGATGGGAGGATTCTGCTTGTTGCAAGCTGAGACCCAGGCAGGACGCCCAGTCTCCTTAGCAAGTGTCTCTCTCCCTCCGCGGACCCTCCCCCACAGGCTGTCTCTCTGTTCTTTGCAGACGGTGGTGAAGCTGGAGGGTGAGAATAAACTGGTGACAAGTTTCAAAAACATAAAATCTGTGACTGAACTCAGCGGGGATACCATCATCAATGTAAGTTGGTTCTCTGAGCTGTGGCTTCCAGAGCTTGAGTGGGAAGGGCAGCAGGTAGAGGAGTAAGTCACACTCCCCCTCCAATTGCCCCCAACCTCTCCCTCCTCCTAGCCCTGTTTTCCATGGTCAGTGCCTACAGCCACCCCCCAAGGACCTGCCTCTACATAGCAGGGAGGTTACGCACTTTGCTCGAGTCTCTCCAACAACCATGATGGAGAGACAGAGGCAGGAAACAACTCAGAAATGGCAGAACCAGAATTTCCTGAAAGTGGGGGCCGGGCGGGGGGTCATCTGCCAGCCACACTTGTTTGTAACATCAGCCTCCAGGCTCTGCAGGTGCTGGTGGCTGCCTGCCAGATGTCACCGCACCTGTCCAGGGTCTTTCCCCATCTTTCCTGCAACGGTCAGCCATTTCCACCTGCTGCCTGCCTCTCCTCCTTGTTACCCATGACCTGTCTCCTTTTGGCACCCACATGGGATGGAGGAGTAAGGGTCACATGGGGCAGGAGGGAGCACGGAGATGTGGCCAGCCATCAGCACGGTTCCCTTCCTGTCTGTTTCCCCTGGGAGCTCCGAGGGTGGGAACCCCCGCAATGCCACAGACAGTGCCTAGGCTTCCCACGGGTCCAGGGAGCCCCACACTCAAGGAAGGCTCCGGCTGGCCAGAAGTGAGGATCTTCCACTGACTTTTCAATGGACGACCCCTGAGTGATTTTCATTCATACCTCTTCCCTATTGCTTCAGGACTAACCCGTGAGCCATGGAGACCTCCACCTTGCTCCATAAGCCCAGAGTACTTCCTAAACACCCATGAAGCATTTATAGGAAGAATCAGGTTGGCAGCCAGTGATGGTGGCTTGCGAATCTGATACACGCTTGGCGTGCAGTCAGTCTGGCCGCCAGCTGCCGGCTGCCTCCTGCCCGAAGGTGGGGGTGAGGGATGCAGCGACTATCCATCAGTTATGTCCCACTGCTCTTCACACATGTACTTTTAGGAGTCACAGAAGATAGAGCACTACCCACAGGGCTGTTACGGCTGATGTGTCCCCTTCAGCCAGGGACAGTGTGAGCAGCATTCATGGCCTGTGCTATTCCTACCCCTGCCCTGCCACCCTCACAGCACAACAGGGTGCAGAGCCAAGCTGCCCTGGACCAAGTCTTGGCCCATTGCTCTGAGGCTCCCCAGCTCACCCAATCCTCTCATCTTCTGTTAGTAAGCAGGTTATCCATTGGCCTTGTGAGGAGCAGGATCGGGGCTCAAGCCCACCAAGCAATAAGCAGTATGTTTCTGCAGAAACCCAAGTGATCCCTGTTTCCCCCAAGGACATACCATGTTATGACAGCAGTCAGGCAGACAGCAGGCGTGAAGGGAGCATCCCTCAGTGACCTCGGAGGTGACAGACACATCCATGTGCTCACCCCTGGGCAGGGCAAGTACACAGCACCCACAAGCATGCCATTCCAGGCCAGGTCCCAGGTGTCCCGCCCAGCACGTGTACCCTGCTAGATGGTGTGCAAGTCCTATCTGGTACATGGCAGATCAAATTGGAGTGGGCTGGTTTGGGTGATCTTGTCATCACAGCCATTGATGCAGAAAGGACTTCAGGAGAAGGCAGGGGGGAGAGCTCAGTGCATGAGAAGTGACACAGTAAAGAACTGGCACTGGATTTGGGCAAGAGTGCCAACCTTCCTCTGGCCCTGCTGTCAATAGAGGGATCTTCGAGTTTCGTACGTTAACATTGGACTGTTAGTTTTTGTGACTTGATTTTTTTTTTTCTTCACAATTGAACATCAGATGAACATTTCCTTTCTTTTTTGGCTTTCAGAGCATGACATTGGGTGACATTGTCTTCAAGAGAATCAGCAAGCGAGTTTAGCAAGCTGCGTTTCATATTCTTTTACTGTGTAAAAAATACTGTAATAAAGTGAACTTTGTTTACAAAAAAATCTTTCCTCCTCAATGGGTTCTCCAAGGTGCCACTGCTGTTTGTGTTGACGAGCACTGGTCACCTAGGCTTTGGGTAACCCTGGTCATTTGTCTGTTTCACCCCCGCCGGGTCAGCTCTAAGGGTAATTCTTAAACACAGACCTCCAAGTTGAGTTTGCTAGGAATCCCAGGTGTGGCTGGATTAGCAGGGAGACCCTAGTCAGTCTCCTGGACAGAAGACCCGAAGCAGGAGGGTATGCAATGTGTTGTCTTTGGGTGGGTGGAACTCCCCATGGGAGCAGAGAGTAGGAACACGGCCATGCACAGAGAACAGCCATGGCCATGAACACTGCCATTGCAGCCTGCCTACTAGTGAACAGGTGCGAAGAAAGGTTAGGCACTGACTCACCAGACGAGCATCTTCTCCTCCTGGCAGAAGGGGATCCTGGCATGGACAGAGCGAATGCCCTCCATGCCGAGGGCAGAGGTGGAATGTGTCTTTGGAACACTCGTTCATATCAGGCTGTCAGGTAGTGTTATGGGTTGAATGGAACCTCCCCGACCATTCCCAGGTTGAAATCCTAAACCCCACAGTTCCAGAAAGCAAGCGGATTGGACATAAGGCCATTACAGATACCCTGAGTGCCGCCCCAGACCCTCGTCAGAGAGCTGCCAAGTCCTGCCACTTCTACCTTTACAACAGCTCTCCTTGCCCAGGCCTGGGCCCAGTCCTAAGGCAACCTTGATAAACCCCATTATGATTTAGATTCTTGTGGGTGAATGAAGCTCTTCTTCCTCCTTCTGTTTCTCCTCCTTTTCTCTCTGACACTCTACTTTTCAAGTAAAATAAATAAATCTTTCAAAAGAAGATCTTTTATGAATAGCAATAATATGGGAGAAAACACCTGTTGCTTACCCAACAAAGGCTAATGAAAGCAACATGAAAATTCCCTTACATCAACAAGAAAGCCGACAAATCAAGGGAAATGTGGGTTGAGGACATTAACAAGCAGCTCACAATAAGAAATGCTTAGCAGCTCACAAAAGCATGCTGGCTCAGTAGCCTAATCCTTGGCTTGTGGCACCAGCAATCTGTGTGGGTACTAGGTTCAAGTCTCAGCTGCTCCACTTCCAATTCAGATCCCTAATTACCGTCTGGAAAACCAAAGGAGGATGGCCCAAGTCCTTGGAACCCTGCACCCATGTGGGAGACCCAGAAGAGGCTCCTGGCTCCCAGCTCTGGCCACTGTGGTCATTTGGGGAGTGAGTCAGCGAATGGAAGATCCTCTCTCTCTATCTCCCCTCCTCTCTGTATATCTGACTTTCCAATAAATAAAAATAAATCTAAAAAAAAAAACCCAGAAATACATTTAGTCTCACAATAATCAGGGTAGAGGGATGTAAGATGAGACATTTGTAAAAATGTAAATGACTGTAGGGTGTAATGAAGAGATCTAACTGTGGTGATGTAAACTAGAAGCCCATAGGAGGCGCCACTGGACAGAGTCTAGTTACTCAGTGCCCTTAGCGCCAGTGATACTGGATTTGTTATCCCTGGGAAAGTGTTTCATACACATGGGCCAGCCCTGCAGTACAGCGAGTTAAGCCAGCACCTGCAACATCGGCATCCCTTTTGGGTACCAACTCAAGTCCCAGCTGTTCCACTTGCTCTGCAGCTCCTTGCTGATGTGTCTGGGAAAGCAGCAGCAGATGGTCTGAGCACCCCCAACCCTGGCCACCCATGTTAGAGACCCTGTTAGAGCTCCTGGCTTCAGCTTGGCCCAGTCATTGTGGCCATCTGGGTAGTGAACCACAAGATAGAAACTTTATTATTCTCTCTGTCTGTACCTGTCACATTAAAAGAAGTTTCAAGTGATTACTTTCAAAAAAGGATGCAACAGCGCAAATCTGGAATTGAAAGCCCCTGAGTTAAAAAGGATTAAAAGAACTATATAGCCATCTTCTGAAAGAATTACAGTAAATGAATGAGGTGAATCTGTATCTACACGTACAGAAGTATCTCCAAGACAAAACACTTAAAGAGAGCCAGCTTCAAAACAACTTAGATAATGTGGCACCTTTCATGCAAATAAAATAAAACTATTTGTATAAACAGATGGGTAAGAACATGCTGGAAAAAGCCCATTGGCTAGAAGGGCTGGGGACAGAATTGAGAAGGAAAGCAAGAGTTACTTGAATGATGTACCTGTATATAAAAGATTTATTTATTTACAAGGCAGAGTTACAGAAAGAAAGAAGGAGAGAGAGAAAGAGATCTTCCTTGCACTGGTTCACTCCCAAAATGGCTGCAATGACCAGGGCAGGGCTATTTCAAAGCCAGGAGCTTCTTCCTGGGTCTCTCCTGTGAGAGCAAAGGTCCAAGAACTTGAGCCATCCTCCACTGCTTTCCCAGCGAACTGTATCAGAAATGAACAGCTGGGATTTGAACTGGTGCCCATATGGGATGCTGGTCACATGATATTAATATAATATAATATAATATAATATAATATAATATAATATAATATAATATAATATAATATAATATAATATAATATAATATAATATAATATAATATAATATAATATATTACAGATATTAAAAGCTTTGGCGATGAGCTAATTTTGTGGCATTATCTTTTTACTGAGTAATGCATTTTTAAAAATGTAGTTGACAAGTTACACACATCATCCTTAAAAATGTAGATTGATTTAACTAACCCATAATTTGGGACCTCAGTTTTGTCACCTATAAAATGGCTAGTATAGCATTTAAAGCTTTTGTGCAGCGCCCATGAAATAGCACAAACCAAATGCCATCCTAGTAACTCATTTCATGATCACTATTTTCATTGTTATTGCTGCTCCCAGTTCCTCGGGGCGTATAAGTGGGTGCAACCTTCAACTGTGAGTGTAAACCATTCTACCCAGAGAAATTTCCCTCTGTACGTGAATGTGGAGGCATGAAGGGAGAAAGAGCTGTGCTGAGTCCACTGGACTGATAAAGGGCAGAATTGAAACTCTTGGGTTCCCCAGCCGTGGGAGGGCCACGAAGGGCAGACCAGTCTTTTCCGAAACCTGGTAACATTCTACCTGGCTCTTCTTCCCTTGGGAACAGCTCAAGGGTTTGGTGGCGGCTGTTTGAATATTTTTGCCTGAAAAGGAAAATTCATTTCCTATGCCGGATTTGGATTTTGTTCAGGTGCTCAGACAGCGCTGGGCCTGAAGCCTGCTGTATATAAATTGAATAAACAACTGTGGATGGAGTCAGCTATTTTTAGCTGGATGCTTTTAAACTCCTCTCGGTCACCTCTGCCTGTCCTATGAGCATCTCACCAGCAGAGGGCGCGCGTACCCTGTGAGAGCCACTGATTTGCAACCAAAAGCCACAACCTTTTGAAGCCAGAAGTTCACAACACAACTGATTTCACAGATCTCAACCAACCTTTTTTTTTTTTTAAGAGTTATTTTTATTGTAAAGGCAGATCATATTTATAGGGAAAAGTAGAAACAAAGAGAAAAATCCTACACCCGCTGGTTCACTCTCCAAGTGGCCACAAAGGCAGGAGCTGAGCTGATACAAAGCCAGGAGCCAGGAGCCTCCTCTGGCTACGGATGTCTTCAAGACATTGGGTGATTCTCTCCTGCTTTCTCAGGCCACAAGCAGGGAACTGTGTGGGAAATGGACATGAACCGGACATGAACCAGAGCCCATATGGAATCCCAGCTTGTGCAAGGCAAGGATTTAGCCATGGAGCCACTGCAACAGGCCCCAGAGAGCTGAGACCAGCATTGTGGTGTAGTGGACTAAGCTGCTGCCTGCTATTAAGCATCCCATGTGAGTGCCTGTTTGTGTTCCCACTACTCTATTTCCTTTGTAAATTTTTAAGTAAGATTTATTTGTTTAAAAGCCAGAGTTTGGGCCTGGCATGATAGCATAATGGTTAAGATCCTCGCCTTGAACGTGCCAGGATCCCATATGGATGCTAGTTCTAATCCCGGCAGCTCCACTTCCCTTCCAGCTCCCTGCTTATTGCCTGGAAAAGCAGTCGAGGATGGCCTAAAGCTTTGGGACCCTGCATCCGCGTGGGAGACCTGGAAAGAAGTTCCTGGCGCCTGGCTTTGGATTGGAACAGCACCGGCCATTGCAGCCGCTTGAAGAGTGAACTATCGGATGGAAGATCTTCCTCTCTGTCTCTCCTCCCCTCTGTACATCTGCCTTTCCAATAAAAATAATAAATAAATATTTAAAATAAATAAATAAAAGCCAGAGTTTGAGAGAGAGAGGGAGAAAGAGAGAGAGCTTCATCTGCTGGTTCACTTCCCACATGGCCATAACAGCTGGGGCTGGGCCAGGCTGAGCAGGAGCCAGTGGCTTCTTTCAGGTCTCACCGGCCCCCATATGGGATGCTGGCATCACAGGTGGTGGTTTTACTCATTAAGCCACAGCACCGGCCCCGCTGCTCCATTCTGATCCAGCTCCCTGCAAATGACCTGGTTTCCCAGGAAGACAGTCAAGTGCTTGGGTCTCTGCCACACTCAGGAGGTCCAGGTGAGGCTCCTGGCTCCTGGCTCCTGGCTCCTGACTTTCACCAGATCCAGCCCTGGCCATCTGAGGAGTGAACCAGTAGAGGAACATTCTCTTTCTCTTCTTCTTTCCCCCTCGGCTTCTCCCTCTTTTTGTACCTCTCTGGCTTTTTAAATGAGTTAATTAATTAATTTATTTATTTTTATTACAAAGTCAGATCTACGGAGAGGAGGAGAGACAAAGAGGAAGATCTTCCATCCGATGATTCACTCCCCAAGTGAGCGCAACGGCCGATGCTGCACCAATCCAAAGCCAGGAACCAGGAACCTCTTCCGGGTCTCCCACGCGGGTGCAGGGTCCCAAAGCTTTGGGCCGTCCTCCACTGCTTTCCCAGACCACAAGCAGGCAGCTGGAAGGGAAGTGGAGCTGCTGGGATTAGAACCGGCACCCATATGGGATCCTGGCACATTCAAGATGAGGTCTTA